AGCCACTCAGGCATATGGAAATATCCGGCTTTGATTTTTTTAAATAATGTAGGCACATTTTCGTCATCAAACGGCAATGTTCCACATAAAAGAGCATAAAGAATGACACCGCAAGACCACACATCCACTTCTGGCCCAGCATATAATTTTCCTGAAATTACTTCGGGAGCAGCGTAGTTGGGAGAACCACAAGAAGTACGAAGGAATTCACCATCCTGCATCATGTTGGAAAGTCCTAACGAGATAAATGGGGTAGAGATTATTAAAATAACTGTTTTGAAAATACACCCTAAGTGAAACGTAGAATTTTTATTAAGGAATATAGTAACATGGATGAGGTAAGTATAGCGTATAAAGAGAGCGTACCAAAGTCTGCAATCTTGACATTATGATTTGAATCAAGTAGGAGATTTTCTGGCTTTAAGTCTCTGTGAACTACTTTGTGTCTATGACAATAGTCGACTCCTGAGATGATCTGCTGAAAGAACTTTCTCGCATCTTTTTCATTAAGCTTCCCAGATTTGACGATAAAATCGAAAATTTCACCACCACTGACATACTCCATAATCATAAAGATGTCAGTGGGCGTGCTTATGACCTACAAAGTTCACTATGGTAGCGCTCAGAAAGCGTTTTATACAACGTAGAAAAAAAACAAAAATTACCTGGTACAGTTTGATAATGTGAGGGTGCCTAAAAAGCCATAAGTTCTGTATCTCCCGACGAAGTTTTCCGGCGACATCTAGGGCTTTAATTTTATCTCTGTTTACAATTTTGACCGCAACTTTGACGCCGGTTGATTTATGTATCCCAACTTTCACTTTTCCAAATGTCCCGACACCAAGTGTTTCTCCTATTATATAATTTCCAATGCGTACTTCTGCGACCCCCTTGGGCATCCTGTGGTCATATGAGAAAAGAGAGTAAGGGGGGAAGTCGAGCCACCGAAGGATAGCCTTGATGAAGTTGGTTAGTTAAAAAAGCTCTAGGTCTAAAAATTAAAAAAAAATTTAAAAAGGATTATTTATCGATGTTGGGTTAATTTATTTGCTATGAAACAATAGTTTATTAACAATCCTATCGAATTGTTAAACAAATAGTAGAGTATGTAGAAAAATGGGTTTAGAATAATATTAATACATATATTTCTATAAAATAGTCAGTTAATTGAATTGTATTTTGACCCACTAGTCTGAAAACTCATCTTTTTTCTTTTCAAAAATATAGTAGTCTAATCCTTCCGTATGTATCCAAGATTTTCTGCACTCTTTTGAGCATATATCAAATCAATTAACCTCTTCATTTTTACCTCAGTTTCATACTATTTCTTAAGATTATTATTT